TTATTAAATATGAAATGTCCAATTTCAAATCAAAAGTGTGGTTTACTATATCTCAAATAAGAAGCAGTACAATTAATCAAAATATGTGCCTAAACTATCAACACAATGTGCTATATTAACAGTAGCTTACGCCAGTAGTGAAGAAGCCTGGATAGCAAGTGGCGATGCAATCACCAAAGGTGTTTTCCACAACTTGTTGAGAATTGAATATTTTCCCTTGCAAGAAGCGGTCCAAAGCCTGGAAGAAGTGGTAGTCAGTTGGTGCAAGGTCTGGTGAATACAGTAGATGACAGAGAGTTTCCACGTCCAGCCTGTGTACTTTGAGCAGCATTGTTTGTGTGACATGTGGTCGAGTATTGTCTTGCAAGAGAATTGACCTGTCTCTAGTGACCAATCTCAGCTGCTTAATTGCAAGCATTCTCATCATTTCATCAAATTGGTTGCAGTAGATATCTGCTGTAATCGATGGACCAGGTTTCATGAAGCTGTAGTGGATAATACCAGCACTGGACCACCAAACAGACACCATTAGCTTTTTTAGATGAATATGTGGCTTTGAACTGTGTTCGGCACTTCATTTTTATCCAACCATTGTGCCAAATGCTTGCAGTTGTCAAAAAAATCCATTTTCATCACACGTAGCAATACATTGTAGAAATGGTTCGCCTTTATGTCGTGGCAACAGAGAAAGGCAAGCTTCGAGACAATTTCTCTTCTGATGCTGATTTAGTTCACGTGGTAACCATCTATCCAGCTTCTTTACCTTGCTGGTTTATTTCAAATGATCCAATATTGTTGGAATAGTAACATCAAATCTTACTGCTAATCCATGCATAGGTTGAGATATTAATAGATTTGCTTCCACTACAGCTTTCAGCTCATCATTATCCACCTTGGTCTCAGGTTTCCCACATGGCTTATTTTCAAGGTTAAAATAACCAGAATGGAACTTCTCAAACCATCAATGTACTGTGTATTCATTAACCACATGCTTCCCAAACACTTCATTGACATTTTGAGCTGTCTGCAATGCATTAGTTTCACGGTGGAACTCATATTTGAAAATAACACGAATTTTTTACTTATCCCTGGTTTCACAAAAATTGCTCTAAAATAAATTTTGAAAGATAATCACAAGCCAAACCATGCATTTGAAAGACTGAGGATATACCTTCACAATAAAAATAATACAAGAAATATCAAAGTGAAGTATCAGAGATATCAACGGTCAAACTTAGTATTTAAGAAAATTGGACATTTCATACTTAATAACCTAATAGCAGAGTCTTTGACTATCACATTTCAGAAGTGTTTTTTTTTTGAGACAGAGTCTCACTGTGTTGCCTGGGCTAGAGTGCGGTGGCGTCATCCTAGCTCACAGCAACCTCAGACTCCTGGGCTCAAGCAATCCTTCTGCCTCAGCCTCCCGAGTAGCTGGGACTACAGGCATGTGCCACCACCGGCTAATTTTTTCTATGTATTTTTAGTTGTCCGATTAATTTCTTTTTATTTTTAGTAGAGACGGGGTCTCGCTCTTGCTCAGGCTGGTTTCGAACTCCTGAGCTCAAACAATCCGCCTGCCTCGGCCTCCCAGAGAGCTAGGATTACAGGCGTGAGCCACCGCGCCCGGCCTCAGAAGTGGTTTTATCTGCCCCACCAAGAACAAAGATACCTGATAATAGGAGCAGCCATGCTCAAAAAGCAGAAGGCAAAAGATCTGGATTAACTCTGCAAGGGTCAGGATATATATAAACTTACAAATTCAGAATGAAGTGAAGGTTTTGAATTGTTTGTTTTTTGTGTGGAGTGACCTAGCTCAGGTTCTAGCTGAACAGCAGAATCCAGAGGGGAGAAGCAAAGTAAACTCAAGAAAAACAAAATCTTTTCAAAACATAAACCAAATTGTTAGGCCCACTGCCTGAATGATACTAGACCCCAAAGTGGGAATCTCTCAAGGGTTGTGTGTATGCCTCTAAAGCTGTTTTGTGATGCCCCTAAAGATTATGAACAAACATGACTAAAGATAATAACAATGCACACGTATTGAACACACACACTTTGTTCGAGGCACTGTGTAAAATGCTTTAACAAAGTCTTCCTCTTACTTGTCACAACTTCATTTGGGAATGTTAAGTTTTCCCTGCTTTTGTACATGAGGATATGAGAGGCCTTACTGAAGCTGAGTAATTTGCACAAAGTTATGCCAGTGAACAAGTAGAGGCACCAGCAATGAATGTGTACAGGGGGACTTCAGAACTAGGTCTGGGAACCAGCAGGCCTTACTGCCCCTTTCTATGGTCAGTGATCATGTAGCCGTATCTACTGTCCGTTACTGGCTATCCCTCTTGGAGGTCCCTGGATGATTCAAGAGCAAGAGTTCATGGTGAAGGAGGACTTTTGTGAGATTTTCCCTTAAGGATATAGAGTCCTACCTATGGTCTTACCTTCACCTGTAGCCTTTGCTCTGCAGAAAGACAGAGATAAAGTATCATCTTCAAAATCATAGTTCCTGCATTCATTGCTACATTTGAGATGCAGAAATTGCATGTGCCCCACAACTAGGGGGTTACGCCAGCATCTCCCAGAACTGCTTCCCATGGAGATGTATTTGACCACAGGCCTCCTTTTTTATTTTCCCACCACGGAAATACCTGTTAACCTCTAAAGAAGAACTTTAGAGTTTGGAAAATTCTGTTCTAGATTTAAGGTATTGGTTTGTTTGTTTACAGATTTAGCTTAAATATGATGCTGCAAATCTTGGGAGTTGTAGAACCTCATCTGATCTCAATCAAAATTCTATTTTGTGCCAAGGTTTCAACCCCCCACTCAAATTTTTATTGAAAGGTAACATACAGAAAAGTACACAAAATGTGCAGCTCAATGAATTACCACACTACTCGATGCCTCAGGTGCCCTGTATTAGCTTCCTAGGGCTGCGGTAACAAAGTATTACAAACTGGGTGACTTAAAACGACAGAAATGTTGTCACAGTTTTGGAGGCTGGAAGTCTGAAATGTAGGTGTCAGCATTGCCATGCTCCTTCTGAAATCCACAGATGAATCCTTTCTTGCCTCTTCTTAGCTTCTGGTGGTTTACTGGCTGTCTTTGGTGCTCCTTGACTTACAGCTGCATCACTTCAGCCTCTGCCTTCCTCATCACACAGAGCTCTTGCTGTGTATCTCTGTCTTCCTATGGCTGTGTTCTAAAGAACCTAATCTTATTGGATTAGGGTCCATTCTCCTCCAGTATGACCTTGTGTTAACTAATTACATCTCTGATGACCCTATTTCCAAATAAGGTCATTCTGAAGTATCAGGCAAAAGGACTTCAGTATATCTTTTTGAGGGAGGACACAATTCAACCCCTAACACCTCCTGTGTTCTACCCCAATCAGTATGTATTTCTCTTCCACAAGAGTAACAAAGGATGTTTTAAATAAATAACACCATCCCACCAAATCAGTAGTAGTGAGCAAGATGATTATGATGTACTCAGTAACAACTTTTCTGCCCTGCCTGGGCTTACATATGGCATGTTAGCCTTTTTAGCCCTGCTTCTAAGTATTGATGTTGCTAGATCTTAAATTTTAATTGCTAGATCTTTGTCAATGGACACAATGTTAACATGCAGATTCTCTCTCATGCACCAAGAAGTTTCTCTTGCAAGCCTTAGTCAAAGTATTTGCTTTTTAGGGATGTTACCTCTTTTATATTACACGTTGAGCATCCCTAATCTGAAAATCTGAAATAAAAAATGCTCCAAAATTTGAATTTTTTTTTTGAGGCAGGGTCTTGCTACATTGCTCAGGCTGACCTTGAATTCCTGAGCTCAAGCGATCCTCCTTCCTCAGCCTCCTGAGTAGCTAAGATTACAGGTGCACAACACCACTCCTGGCTCAAAATTCAAAAATTTTTAAGCATGAACATAATACTAAAATAAATGCTCATTGGAGCATTTTGAATTTCAGATTTTTGGATTAGGGATGCTCAACCAGTAAACATTATAATGTAAATATTCCAAAATCCAAAAAAATTTGAAACATTTCTGGTCCTAAACATTTAGGATGAGGGCTAATCAACCTGTACCTTATACTAATTCTTTTTTTTTTTCAAGTAGTTGTTTTACACAAAGCCTTCAAGCACTATTTTTTTAAAAAAATTAGTATTGCTGGAAACAGTTATGTATTTGTGTTACCATCTTTGCTTCATGGTATTGGAGACCTCTTGGCACTTAATTTTTTCCCCTGTGTGGCAGAATAGTGTTGTCTTAGTTTGTTTTGTGCTGCTCTAACAGAATACCACAGACTGGATAATTTATAATGAACAGAAATTTATTGGCTTATGGGTCTGAAGGCTGGGAAGTCCAAGATGGAGGGGCTGGCATCTGGTGAGAGCCTTCTTATTGCATCATCCCATGATAAAAGGCAGAAGGGCTACAGAGGATAGGGGGAGTAGAAGGGAAGAAGAGGGAGGGGAGTAGGGGAGAGGGAAGATATGCTCAGAAGATTTTTATCTTTCGTAGGTGGTGATGTTTTAAATTCTAATCTTAAGAGGAAATGTTGGTCCTTAGATCAAATTGACTATATAGATGGTGTATTTTGATCTGATATGAGAAGGCAGGAATTTCAATGGCAAACACAAAAGAGCTAAGGTATAAAGATCTTTTGGGCACCGTGTAATGCTATCTAACTACAAATGGTATCCAGAAATTCACTGTAAGATGCAGTATGTAGCTAGCTATGAAAACAATTTTAAGGTAAATTTTTATTTACACTGTAGATATATTTTACCAGCCTCCTCTCTTCCTATAAAACATCTTAAATATAACAATTTTAAAATTTTCTACAATTTTTGTTTTGTAAAAAGGATAGGCCAGTAACTAATGTATCAAACTTGCTGACTGACACCATATTGAGTCCCCCAAATAACCAGATATTATGAATGACTTGTCTTCAAAAGGAATGATAAATGTGTAATAAGTTTCTTTCTTCCTTTTTCTAGCCAAGGACCCTTGTCGTCCATTAGAGCAGTAATCAAGAGATGTAAGTTTGTTTTTTCCTGCTCTGTATTTTCCTCTGTAATAATTTTCAATGATGATTTAGATTTCCACCAAGTGGTTGTATTTGATGAATCTACAAAGAACCTAACAGCAGTGGCATCTAAGAAGTAATAAAGCATTTCAGACAAACATCTAGTTTTCAACTTTTATTTGTTGATAAGCTAGTTTCTCAGAACAATGCTTTTCTCTTACGAAAAAAAGAACAAAGTTTTTTTTTTTAAAAAAAATCTGGCTATCTAGTTGGTTTCTATAATCTAATATAAATTTTATGTAACTATTTTCTATAGTTAGATACATCTTATAGGTTTAAAAAATATTAAATCCTGTTCTTTTTGGTTCATTTTCTTCCATGGTTCTCTTTACAATATATTTTTTTAACTGTATAAATGCCTATGAGGATAGGCTTATTCTACCACATATAAGACAGAAGTGCTGTGAAGAATTCCCTCCAAAACGGCACGTTCATACTTTGTCTTTGTCTCTTGATTAAAGCTTCAAAACTTGCTCTCGATGTGGGATTTTAACACTCTTTTTTTAATAAAAGACTCTGGAAAGGTTCCTTTTCCAAAAAGAACATGGATTACCTGTTATAGAAAAAAGATAAAGATAAGATTTTGGATATTCTTTGCGTTTTCTGAGTTGAGGTCACTACTCTGAGGAGAATGTAGCCTATTTTTAGAAACATAATTTTAAATATTTAGTATGAATTTAGGGTATCCACAAATCATAGAGACCATGCATTTGAGCCATACCAGTGAAAATTTTACCAGGTAGCAATAGAGAAAAATATGCCATGTTTCCCTACTCCGTTTTTTTTCTTCGTTGGTGAATTATAAAGATGTGGGAATGCCATAGTGTATGTTGAAGGAAATTCAGACATAAAAATGAAAAATTCATGATAGCTTTACATGCCTTAGAATACTTGGAGTCTTATACACATCTTCTATAATGGGGAAAAAAAAAGAATACTTGGGGTGAGATTCGCAAGGAGAGGAAAAGCAGGGAGAGAATTTAAATAAGAAATTAGGGTGTAGGTCAGGCACAGTGGCTCACGCCTGTAATCACAGCACTTTGGGAGGCCGAGGTGGGAGGTTTGCTTGAGCGCAGGGGTTTAAGACCAGCCTGGGCAACATAGCAAGACCCCAGGTCTACAAAAATTTTAAAAAATTAGCTGGGCATGGTGGCTTGCACCTTGTCCCAGCTACTTGGGAGGCTGAGGCAGGAAGATCACTTGAGCCTGGGAGTTCAAGGCTGTAGTGAGCTATGATGGTGCCACTGCACTCCGGCCTGGGCAATAGAGCAAGATACTATCAAGAAAGAAAGAGAGAGAGAGCGAGAGAGAGGGGGAGAGAGAGAGAGAGAGGAAGGAAAGAAGGAAGGAAGGAAGGAAGGAAAGAAGGAAGGAAGGAAGGAAGGAAAGAAGGAAGGAAGGAAGGAAGGAGGAAGGAAGGAAGAAAAAGAAAAAAAGAAGAAAGAAAAAATTAGGGCCTAGAATTTAGGCAAGAATTTCTTGGCTAGAGATATAATTTGGGGTAATCAAGGTTATAGGCAAAATCCTGGAAGTAGCTGAACATTTAGGGAGAAAATATACAGGATAGAAAAGATAGCAAGGGACAGAATCTTGGGAAATGTTGTTGTCTAAGGCCAAGCTATGCCTTTAAGGGACTATAAAGCAAAAAATTTATGACCCGATAAACCCAGCCCTGCTGAAGAGAAGGGCCTCCTTTCACTCAATCATGTCTACTGCCTCCTGCCTTTATTCCCTGGCATCTTACTTATCTCCCCTTGGGTTTCAGGACTTCTTTGTTAGGATGGTAATCTGCACTGACTTCCCATAGATCCTCCAGGATGGATCTTGCTTACCCTCAGGCCCCTGGGTAAGACTTAAGGAGACTGCAGCTAAGAAGTGGACAATAAAAGCTGAAGAAGAATGGGCAGAATAATAGAAAAACCAGGAGACAGCTGCGTTTTAGGGGTCGAAGGAGGAGAAAATTTTGAAGGGAACAGGTGAACCAGCAATAGCTCTCAATGCTGCAGCAAGGCCAAGCCAAGGGTGGCCAAGAATAGGTCATTGTATGTGGCACATAAGAGGTCGATGGAGACATTTGAGAGAGCAGTTTCAGTAGAACATTGGAGTTGGAAGCCACACTCCACTTTGAACAAAGAGTGGACTATGTGGAAGTTGGGACAGCTGGAGTAGGCTACTCTTTTATGAAATTTGGTGGTAAACAGAGAGAGATATAGGGGCTGTGGTTTGAGAAGGTTGTAGGGTCGAGCAAAGAGGAGATTTGAACATGTTCATAGACTGTTTAGGATGAGGAGATGTGAAGACATTTGTAGGTGGCAGGGAAGCAATCGGTGGAGAAATGAGACTGGAGCATGAGAGAAGAGGAAACTGGTGGAACAGGGCCCTAGCAGAGAGGAAGGAGGAGGTAAAACAAAGGGGAAACCCTTGCTTTGAGGTGTCTTGTGTTTTTTGTTTTTTAATTAATCCAGCTGTCTTTGAATTCTTGTACGTTAGTCACTTGGTAACACTAAAGAAATATTTGTTTGTATTTATTCCTGATACTTAGGCAAGAAGGCCAAACAGATCTTTTCATGATGCCCTATGACTAAAGAATGTAGAATAATTGTGTCATCCCCCTTTCTTTTTCCTTTTTGCCTATTCTATAAGAAAAAGTTGTAAATAATTTTTGTCTTAACTAGACGATTAAAATGTTTGTATGTTTTTGTTTTTTTGAGACAGCGTCTTACTCTATTGCCTGGGCTAGAGTGCAGTGGTGTCATCATAGCTCACAGCAACCTCAAACTCCTGGGCTTAAGCAATCCTCTTGCCTCAGCCTCCTGAGTAGCTGGTACACGCATGCGCCACCACAGCCAGCCAATTTTTTCTATTTTTAGTACAGATGGGCTATTGCTCTCACTCAGGCTGGTCTCGAACTCCTGACCTCAAGTGATCCTCATGCCTCAGCCTCCCAGAGTGCTAGGATTATAAGCATGAGGCACCGCGCCCGGCCACAGACCATTAAAATGTGTGCTTTACTGTCCCAGACTCAGTCATCTAATCCTGGCTAGGAGACTTTGTCACATTTTAAAAGCAATATTCCTTAACTAGTTATATATCAAATTATTTAATAATGATTCTGGTTCCAATCAAGTCTTGGGGTCCTTCTTTTTGCGTTCATTATTGTGAGCTCTAAATATTTTTGGTCAAGGCCAGGCGCGGTGGCTCACGCCTGTAATCCTAGCACTCTGGGAGGCCGAGGCGGGTGGATCGCTCGAGGTCAGGAGTTCGAGACCAGCCTGACCAAGAGCGAGACCCCGTCTCTACTAAAAAATAGAAAGAAATGATCTGGACAACTAAAAATATTATATATAGAAAAAATTAGCCGGGCATGGTGGCGCATGCCTGTAGTCCCAGCTACTCGGGAGGCTGAGGCAGTAGGATCTCCTGAGCCCAGGAGTGTGAGGTTGCTGTGAGCTAGGCTGACGCCACGGCACTCACTCTAGCCCGGGCAACAGAGTGAGACTCTGTCTCAAAAAATAAATAAATAAATAAATATTTTTGGTCAAGTTTGTTTTTTGTTTTGTTTTATTTTTGTTGTTTTTTGTTTGTTTTGAGACAGGGTCTCTCTCTGTCCTCTGTCACCCAGGCTAGAGTGCAGTGCAATCATAGCTCACTGAAGCCATGAACTCCTGGGCTCAAGTGATCCTCCTGCCTCAGCCTCCCAAGTAGCTAGGACCATAGGTGCACACCACCATGCCCAGCTAATTTTTTTCTTTTTTTGGTAGAGATGAGGTCTTGCTATGTTGCCCAGGCTGATCTTGAACTCCTGGCTTCAAGCGATCCTTCTGCCTCAGCCTCCCAAAGTTTTGGGATTACAGGCATGAGCCACCACACCTAGCCTGGTAAATTTTTGGTGTGTCCTAATTGAATATATCTAGAATTTTATATTCTTCCTTTCATTAACTTTTTAAGAGAAAATTATTTTCTGAAATTCAGATTTAGTTAATAGTGATTACCTACCGTAAGTCAAGAACTGTTTCACATACATTATAAAATAACATTCTGCATGGTAGCTGCTAATCCCATTTTACAGATGGTAGGGAAACTGAGTCTCAGAGAGGTTAAATGGCTTCACAAAATAAGAGCTGGGATGTGAACCTAGGCTTCTTGACTTCAAGGCCATTGAGCTTTCCACTCCACAGATGTTCCTGTTATTGTGTCAAATGCATGTAGCTCATACCCTGTCCCAAACAAATGTAGTCAGTGAGTTCTTTATTATTATGATTGCATTGATAAGGTAGTTCTATGGCTATTCTTCTATGTGCTTATTTTCTTCCAATCATGATTTAATTGGTAATTTTGAATTATTTAGAATCGGGATTAGCATCCCACTCTCCTGGCTCCACAAGGAGTTAAACTGCTTTAAGAAACAACCTGCTCTCAGCCATGTCCCTAATGGGCTGTTGGACCTGGGATCATTCATTTAACTTCACTCTATCTCAGTCTCTCCTCTGTGAAGTCTGAGCAAGATGATCGATCACTGAGGGTCTTTCCATGCTTATGATCTTTCTGGAACTTGGGAGGATTCTTTATTGGTGGTAATATTGCAAATCCACACCTCAACTCTTTTATAAATAGCTTAATATGAGTGTGTTTTGTACTTAGAATTTAACCACTTGAACTAGAAAAATTTAAAAATAATTCTTTGAAATGATAGGATAACTTTAACTGAAAATACTGCTTTTTTTCTGTGGCATTAACCCAAAATGCACAAGAGACTAGCAACTTGTGGCATAGAGGTTAAATGGGACATGTTGGTCTGTATGGACGTTGGTGGCAAATTTGATTCTCCTGGCAACAACTACAGCAAATCTGTTTAATCTGAGAAAGTGAGAATGAGATGTATAAGTGAATAGCTGAGAAATTAGCAGGAACAATGTGAAAAACCACATGAAAATCCAACATGAAATCCGTTTCTAGCTATTAAATTGTTTAGCACTGACAAAAAGTGTCAGTCGTTCCAAAAGGATCAAGAAATAGAGAGATTTCATAGAAGATGAGTAAATGTGAAAAAAAAATCAGAGAAGGAGAGAGGAAAGCAGTGATTCTCAAAGGATGTGGAGAAGGAAATCTGTAAGTATGACTATGAGACCTCTCTCCTTGTTCTGCTGCATTGAGAGTGACAATACCACTCTGCTACCCGTGGGGGCCTGTTATTAATATTAATGACCTTTGGTGTGAAGGGACAGAATCAGGTTAAAAGCCACTGGTTTAAAACAACGTAAATCGACTCCTGAATTACCTTTTAGGTATTATTCATACTTTAAAATTTATCCTTGTTGAAATAGCAAATTGATTTTGCAAAATGATTTTTAGATATTTTTTTTGCACTGTTGTTAAAAACTACAGGCACATTTTTTTGACTGTGGTTACGTGTGTGGATGTCCTGGTCTGTAAAGGCAAATCTTTGCAGCAACATACTTCTTTAATCTCTGAAACTGTGGTTCATCAACTCTTCTTTTCCATCTAAGTGTACAGGTTAGGGAAAAACAGTGGCATGGCAAGACAGCCTTGCTCCTGAATTCCTGTGAAAGCTTAGGCAACTGGGTTCACTCTTTTTTCTCCCTTTCCTCTTCTATAACCCCTTCTTTTTTTCTCTTAGCACTCATGAATAGTGCACAGCAAAAATGCCCCGTGGAAGAGGTATGTTTGTGACAATAACGTGAAGTCTTTTAAAAGTGCTTCGTCTGCTGATTCCAGCTTTAGTGATGGTGGTGATGTGATTGTAGCACAGTCGGGTGAGCCTCTGACTTAATGAAACCACTCTTACCAGTCAGACATACCATGCAGAGCTCTGTGTCTTCTTTTATTCCAATAGATAAAATGTACTGCAGCTTGGTTTAGCTCTTTATAAAAATATAACAGTGAAATCAGTTGATGATATGAATATAAGGACATCTTCCAAGTTGAGATCCAGTGGTTTTGGTTTCAGATGTTAGAGATTTGCCTTGCCACCCAGCATAGGTTCACCTGTCACAGCTCCAATCCCAGCCTAAATTTCATTCCCACCCCGCATCTCCACCCATGCCTCCCCTAGCTTTGGCATCCTCCTTGTTCAGAGAGAAGCAGAAGTTAATAGGAAAAAGAAAGAAAAGATCCATACTTTTAATCTTTTCAAATGAAAAGAATTTAAAAAATGGAGTATTAGAGAGATATGAAAGCAATTGGTTGAAATACATTATATCTGAAATAAATTCCCTTTGTGCACAAATCTTTACAGTATAGTATTGGAAGATTTTTTTTCCAAAAGGACCTTTAGAATATGCTCCTTTAAAATAGAGATAATGTTCTCTACTACATAAAAATTGACCCCATATGTGACATATTTTCCAGATTATTTAAGACTTGATTTACTTTATAAAATAAAACTTGGAAAAAATTTACACTATCATTATATTTAATAACTGTCTTCTTTTCTCTGTTCATTCTTCAAATTATTTTCAGAACCACAGAATGTGCTTTGGGGAGTTTTTGAAATCTATATTTTCTTATGCAATTCAAATATATAACTACAATTAACTTTATGCCAATAAAAAGATCATTTTGATTTACTGTTCTACTTAGGAATATTAAAGTTTATACATTCTATATGATGTCAAGTATAAGCTAATTTTTTCCAATTGTACTCTAAAAATTTAAACCTTTACTGAATGTACTGATTTTGTGCTAAACCAGTTTATTCTTTCTTCTATAGCTTCTCGGACTTCTATTCAGAGTGAACTTCATAGAGATAGGAGGTATGGTTATATCTATAATAGAGGGCATATATTCTGCTAATTATTGAAATAAAATTATGCCATAGTTAGGAGGTTAAATATTTCTCTTTTGTATGTTACTCTGTTCTGCCTCATCAATACATCTCCTGAATAAATCTATAAGTTTGAATGATAAATATTTTGCCTGAGAGAAGTGATACAGGCCTGAAAATGTTCTTTTGATTAGTAATTATTTACTAAAGTTGATTTTCTAAATGTTTATTAAACAATGCTACATGTAAAGCATTGTTATAACTGCTTTGAAGAAATGCTTTGTACCTCATAGCTACCTAGTAAATGTTGCCTAGATAAATGGATGGGTGACCGGATAGAAAATTGAATGGAAAGATAAGAAAGGCAAAGAGGCAGGCAGGAAGGATCGATAGCTGTGTGAATAAATGGTGGACGGCTGGTTGCAGAAAGGAAAGGAGAAGAGAATAGCCAGAGAGATAGAAGGAAGGACGAATGGACAGACAGAGAGATAGTAAAATGGATGGAAGGATGGATGCATGGGCAAAGAGAAGAATGGAAGGGTGGACAGGTGGATAAGTGGATAGAGAGGTTTTTATAAGTCATGGTTCCTGCTTTCAAATTTCTTACAGTATTCTATAGAATAACGAAGAGGAAGGACTTTAGAGTCAGACAGAACCAAGTTCAAATCTTGACTTCACTATTTCCCTCCATGTGACCTTGGTCAAGCTGGTTAACCTCATTAGCTTCTGTATCCTCATCTTAAAAATAATGCCAATCATACCTACATCACAAGGTTGTCATAAGAATAAATACATGTATGATACTTAACATTTATTAAGTAGTAACTCTATTTAGTTAAGCAAAAGCTATAAGCAGACGTTTTTAGGGAATGCAATTCAAGTTTAATTAATGGTCAAGTTCTGCTGTTACACAAGCTAGCATGAGAGTGTGTATATATATATATACACAATTTTGATAATGACAGTGCTTTTTTATTTTTATTTGCCATAGAGTGCTAGAGAAAAGCAGGGCATGTATCCTTATTTGTTAGGTGAGAAAACTGAAGCTCAGAGATGGTTGATTTGCTCAGGGTCATACAATTGGTGTTTGTTAGGAAATCATGTTAAAGACGAAATTTAAACATAAGAATGTAGAATCAGTTTAAGAATAGGATGAAAGAAGCCATGCCTAAATCACTATGGCTCTTCAGTATTAAAAAGTAATCATCAAATCATATCCAAAACTGATCAGGAACACAGAGACACATATCGGGGTCTAGAAGTAAACATGTAAACTCAAAACACTTAAAGATAACTTTGAATGGGGACAGAGATGGGCTGAGGAAGAAGAGGTAATTTTTATACGGTAATTTTCATTTCACAGTATGTACTATGTAATAACAGAAAATCAAACAATTCCAAATGACCAGTATGTTTTTCTACCATTCACTATATGCTTGTCCTATAGGCTAGATAGATAGCAGCAGACAGAGCCCTGGAATGAACAGACTGTATGGGCCTTACTTAGTTCTTATCCTTAACATCCAAGGCAGAGCCAAGTGTGCTCAGGGTACATCTCTAACTTTTGGAGGCCAAAATCATAGAGGATGACTATCATTTGCTCCTTTGCAGCCTGTCACAGGTCATTTTCTGTGAATGTGGTCATTCTTATAACTTTTTTGGGTGGTGGTGGTTTTCATGAATCTTTGAACATTTGCAGATAGAGGGACAATAGCTTGTTACCAACCTGTAAAACCTTACTGAGTCTTCTGTCCACTAGGCGCCCAGAGATCACCATTGTGGCAGCTGAGCCATTGAGGCCAGCCTCGTGGTTTCCAGGAGCTCCACCCCCAGGACTGGGATTTTCCCCATCTTCTGCTGCAGGCCCTTGGAGGCCAAATGAGTTGGTTCCTGCTGAGGTAAATAAACATTCCGTTATCTGTTTGCCTGTTTATTTTTAAAATGAAATTCAATGATAAGAACAGTGAGACTTGGCTGTTGCCCATAGATGTCTAAAAATCTTCATTCTTTGTTTTGTAGCTCCCACCATCCTATGAACAAGTCATAAAAGAAATAAACCAAGTTCAAGTTAATACTACAAATAATAATAATGCTGCTGCCACTCCAAGGCACACTATTACTTCTGCAACTCAGACTGACTTTTCAGAAGAAATAGACAACGATCTGCCTCAAAGTAATGCGAGTAATTTGTCTTCCCTAATTCTGACCTAGTTCTAGGGAAGTAATCAGTAGGCTTCTGTCCTTTAAAATAATTTGCAATTTGTGCATAAGTCATTGAGCTCTGCTTCCCAGTCAGTGTGATCACTGTGTGCTTACTTTCTTTGAGTATGCAGTGATTATTATAATCGGTCATTCTCAAGAGCTGCAGCCCCCATCTATTCGGTTCATCCTAGTTTATATCACAAAAACATCATCTGTTTAACTCATGGTGAATATTTGTGCTGATACACTTTATTTCCATTGAGAAGGATGTTATATTTAGCAACTTAGGATAGCATACTAAGGGTGACTGTCCTATTAGTCTTTTTTAAAGGATTGTATTAGGGTAACAGAGATGAGAGTAAGTTGCTTTGGAAAAATAAAGGATTAGAAATGTTGGAATTTTGACAACCAGAGAGAAATTATTCATGTGATAAGTCTGATGAGAATCAGGATTTAATGGTGTTTAAAAATATTACATAATGAATGTTTCTTATATGAACCAATATAACTTGAAGAACACTTCTGCAAGAAGCTGAGTATAAACATTTCCCCATTGATTTTGGAATCACTTTTTACTAACTAAGGAAACTCAAATCTCTTGATATTCCACATGAATATTTTTAAAAATCTGTGTATCTTCTATATTTTTTTCTTTTGAATTGTAACATTGCAAATTTGTTTTTTTTTTTTTTGGTCTTGTCAGCACTCCAGGCACCTCTCAAGCAGCCTTCCCCAGCAGTCTCATCTGGCAATCTTTCAACAAATGTGGCACCTTTAATAGTTTTTGATATTTCTGAAGAACAGAATTGTCCAGAAAACCCCAGTGCCACAAGATGTCCAGTGCCAAAACCAAGATCAAAAAGCAACCTCAGACCAGTAGCCAGAGGTACTCACATTAAAGAGCAAAGTCACCAGAAAATCAGCACAGTAGCCACAGAAGAGGAGTCATCCCCAGGCTGGCCCCAGTCTCTGTTGGACAATACCAACGACTTAGACAGTCAGGCAGCGATGAACATTATGAACACAGAACAAAGCCAAAATAGTATTGTTTCAAGAATCAAAGCATTTGAAGGTCAGACAAATACAGAAACCTCAGGACTGCCCAAGAAACCAGAAATTACTCCCCGTACGCTTCCCTCGAGGCCTACTGTTTCCTCAGGGAAACCCTCTGTGGCTCCCAAACCAGCTGCTAACAGAGCTTCTGGAGAATGGGACTCTTGGACTGAAAGCAGACTCAAGGTGACTTCCAAGGAAGGGCTTACCCCATACTCTCCACCACAAGAAGTGGGAAGCATCCCAGTAACCAAACCTGAATTGCCAAAGAAACCAAATCCTGGCCTTATAAGAAGTGTTAATCATGAGATAATGGGAAGAGGGCCCCTGTCAGAGAGCCTTGATGGTGGGAAGAAAGTCCCAACTCCTGCTCCACGGCCTTTGCTGCCGAAGAAATCACTTTCCTCAGAAGATCCCACCTACCCTCCGCTGAAACCCATCACTGTTCCTCCCCGACTTTCAGTGGCATCACAAGCCAAAGCATTCAGGTCACTGGGAGAAGGGCCCCCGGCTAAGCCCCCAGGTCCAATTCTGCAAAGCAAGCCCCAGGGTGATATCGACCTGATCAGCTTTGATGATGATGTTTTACCCACCCCATCTGGGAACCTGGCTGAAGAATCTATTGGTTCAGAGTTGGTTCTAGGTGAGTAAAAATCAGAAGTGGAGGGGAATCTAAGCTCATCATAAGATATCTTAAATGGCACTTGCTGTTTTAGTTTACAGTTACATAAGTTACTGAGGTGTGTGTGTGCACGTACACATGCATGTGTGTGTATAGAGACAGAGTCAGGGATAAACAGAGATTAAGAAACATGGAGCTAGGAGGGGGATGGGAAAATATGGGATGGGGGGAAGGGAAACAGAACTGGGGAAACACACATCCATTACTATTATATGAGCCAGAAGCAAGCAGACAGGGGCCAAGGACTAAACTAGATTGTGGGGCTAGCTCTTACTCTGGCAGGTGGACATTCAGGCTTCACAAGGATCCAAGGAGGCTGGGGGAGCATGGCATTAGAAAGATGCAGAGGAAACTTCTCACAGATGGGAAGCCATGCAGTGGCCCCACAAGGGCTCCTCAGGGGGAACTGGCCCCAGCTGGGAGTGCTAGGAGATGGGCCAGCTCCAGGGGAGGACTGTGACAGAGCAATGTAAGGAGTGAGGAACCAGCCACATGTTACAAAATTTTTTTCGGTAATCTTCACAGAACATCTCCCCTTGGGAATGCAGAGTTTTATAAATAAAATTCAACAGTTGTAACTGTGCTGTGAAGATCAGGACAATTAGATTTCCCAAGAGGCAGAGTGTGTTTTCTTCCCTCATACTATTCAGATGGAGGGTGTTATGGTAAAGCTTATCTTTGATTTGTCAAACTAAGCTGCTCTACTTGTCATTGATAAGATTCCTTTTACTAGTGTTTACTTATTTGGATGGAATTTGTGAACATATGAACTTAATAGTATTTTCAAAAGGTTAACTGTCATCTTATAAATGTTTAATATGCATCAAAATGGTACAAGCTGTGATTCCAACACCAAATTCTGCACTGCACAGGTGCATTTTAAATGACAACAAACACATACAGTACTTATTAAATATTTACCATGCATACAACATTGTAACTGGCAATAGCATATAAACTAAGAGACATGCCTCTTGTCCTTAAAGGGTGGAAGAAAAAACATTAGAATATATTGAGCTTCTGCAATGTGCCTAATGCTCTGATAGATACTTAGACATACATTATTTTAACATTTACAGCAACCCTCTGTGAGATATCATTGCCCTCAGTTTGCAAATGAAGGAAATGAGGCTGAGAGACATCAATGGATAACTTGCCTAGTGTCATAAAACTAACAATTTTCCAAGCTAGGATTCAACTTAGTGTTTTTATTCTAAGTCTAGTTTATTTTTCACTATATCATGTTACTACTCAACATTTTCATGAATCCTTAACCAGGCAACACTATAAAAGCTTTTCAAGTCTTTGTCAATATCATTTTCTTATATAAATCTTTTTGGTGTTACAAGCTTCAGAGAAGGTCAGGGATGGATAAATCCAACAGCAGAAGCTGTTAAGGTGTGGAAACAGTACAAGCCAAAGAAATATTGCACTTTCTAGATTCTATGAGGATGGCAACTTGGTTAATAATTGCTGAGAACTTATTTTGTATCATCAAGCAGATAATTATAGTCATCTTCAAAAAGTAAGGTCAACAATATACTTTCAACATGAACATAGTCTCATGCTTCATATTCAGCCTTTTCTGGTTCTTGATTTCTATCACTTTATTGCACAACATTTAATTATTGAGGCAGTCTTGTAGCAAAATGTGTAATTTGCTTGCCCTATCCGACTTTAACCATTGCTTTTGACTATGGAGTTATACTGAACTGGATACTTTATATGCTTTCTAAACCTATTCCTCCTCCTATATTTTGCACCTCACTAGTGACACCATCACACACCCAGCCTTCCCTAGAGAAACCCAGAGATCATCCCTGAGTTTTGTCACCACGTCACACAGAGCCTACCACAATTGCTATGTTACCTTGGGCAATTTACTTAACCTCACAATGCCTGGGTTTCCTCATCTATAAGACACATTACTACTACTACTCTTCCTGGAGGCTACTGCAAGGGTTAAATGTGATTCTGCACAAAAGCCCTATCACATTGTCTAAAACATGGCGACCATTAAATAGTAGTTATTATTGTTACTTCTCCGGCTTCATATCCAGTTAATTACCAACTCCTGCTGGTGTTACCTTCTGAATAGTTCTTGACTCTGCCTCTCATTTCCACCCCTCCTTGTACTGCCCCACTTTAAGCCTCTATGCTCAGATTACTGCAGTGGCCTCCTAAGTTGAGCCCATTCAAACACACCCCTCATCCAAGGGATTTTTCTAGAGTGCACACTGGCCCTTACTGCTTCCCTACTTATTACTCTCCAAAGGCCTTCAGGATCACCTCTGAACTCCTCAACATGTGGAGGGATTTTTGGTTGTTTTTGACTTAGGGCTTTGTGACCTTTTGATGGTATTTCAGTAGCACTGTCATTGTAAATAAAGGTTTTTGATCTCTTTGTGAAACCTTGCCTAATCATCCAGGCATCAGCCAGAAACTGGGAGAGGAACACAGGAGAAAGAAGAGTAACTCACAAATATGTCTTTCCTTCTCTGTCTCTTCCCTTAAAAATAAAGAAAATCTAATAAAACAGTGTGCATAAAATGAAGTTGCCATATTAAGCTCAGATAATAGAAATCAGAAAATACTGAAGCTATGAAAACATTGTAAAGATTAGAAAAATTATTAAAGGAAAACTCATAAAACAGGCAATTTAATATTGGATTCATTTCTTGGATAGAATGCCTTCCAGGTTAATGTAATGGAGCTGAGAAGTATTAGCAGTTCCTCTTCACACCTTTACAAATCATACCCAGTTGTCAAAAAAAAGCAGAATGTTTCTGCTGTCAGCCCCATTACACAGACCAGAATAATAGTTTAGCAGTTAATTTCTGGTATTAATAGAACTCAAGGGAAAGAAATGACAGAAAAGCAAGCCAGGGATGGTGAAACTAATTATGATGACAAGCATATTATTAGAGACAGGTAATGGGCGAAAAACTACTTTATCATCAATGTTTTTCCCAACCCAGTAATGAAGACCATGTGGATATAGGTGTAAAGAGGCCTGTTTGTTTGGCAGCAGGTGTTGGTGTGAGGGGCTAGAAGGAAGAGAGAATAAACACTGCAAATAAGAGTAGAGAAAAATGCCATTGACTTTCCTTAGATTTGGATAGGAAATTATTCTTGAGATGCTCTGTGTCTCTTCTATAGAAGCAAGAGCAAACAATCTGTGATAGAATTATGACAGCGAGGTTCTTAACCCTTTCTAGATTACAGAATTCTGAGAATCTGATGTAGCCTGTGAATCTTTTATCTCCCTTGAAAATAGCCATTAGCTCATGTGTGCACAATTCAAGGTACAATTTCCAGAGCTTCCAGGGTCCATTTTGGGCTCCAGATTAAGGACTTCTACTATACAACACTGGAAATAAACTTCAGTGGACTGCTAAGTAAATTATGGTGCATCCATAACAATAGAGTATAGTGTGGTAATTAAAAGGAGGTAGACCTGTTATCTCCTACTAGGGATGAACCTCCAAGATATTACTAGGTGAAAAATGCAAGGTACAGGATAGTATTCGTGGTATTTTAGCTACTGTTTGTGTTAAATGTCAAATGCAACATGTTTAGAAAGATGTATAAAAAGTTGGTAGCAAAGGTTGCCTTTTATGAGGGAGGAGGATGACAGGAGAGGATGAGGGAACCTGGTTCTATCCGTGTACCTTTTGATCCCTTTCGAATTGCAGACCTTGAGCAAGCATTACCTTTAACGAAATAGTTAATTAGTGAATAATCTTTCCTAAATAGCTGAATATAAGCATAATTAGGCTGAAAGAAACTGGGAGAGTTATCTTTTTGCTACAGAGATAGAACTGCTTCCCCCACTGATCCTCAGCCTTGTGGTGAGTAGAAATTTTAAAAACAATAAAATAATGATTTTTCTAAACAGTTATATTAATATTATTCAAGTTTACAAATGGAAGCTAATTATTATCAACTAAATATGTCTAAATTAGATCAATTCAAAAACATATATCTGTATTATTTCCCTTTTAAATAGAATCCCAAATAAAGAGATTTTCAAGTGGTTTTTGTATTGATTTGTTTGGCAGCTTGAAATTTCAGCTTGAAATTTCTTGTGATTGAATTTATTTTACTGAATTTTTTTTTCAGTTACAAAAGTAAAATATATGTGTTGTAACGAGTCAGACAATTCAGAGATTTTAGTAAAAAAAAAAAAAAAATTAATCTCCCTCCAGTCCATTCAAATCCCCAGAGTAACCAGTATGAACAAAGTTTGTAGCTTTCTGTGCCTTTGGTGAAACCAATACAAACCAAAGCTTGCAAACATATACATAGTCCATACACATGGACTTTCCCCCAAAATTGTTATTATAGTATATCTGTTACTCAGCAGGGTGCTTTTTTTCATTCAACAATGAAATTTATCGTTTCTCTTCAGGCTAATAGGTCTAATTTATTGTTTCCTTTTACCTGCCTAGTATTCCGTAGTATAAGTATATCATAGTCGATTCAATGTTTCCCCTATTGGTGGACATTCAGGTTGTCTCCTTTATTTTTAATTTCAGGTGTTTTGTTTGTTTTTGTTTTTTGCCACTACATAAAATGCTGTTGTAAATACTCCCACAAACATTTTCACTCCTACCAGTGCTTTTATTTCTGAAGAATAAATTTCCAAAAATGGGACTACTAGGACAAAGGTTATGAACTTTAAACATTTTAACTGTTACTAATGATCCAATTTCCTAACTTGGCAGTGCCTGAAGTTCCCAAACATGAAGTGCCATCCTTGCTTTATATGTTGCCCACTTATCATTTCTGTTGGAAAAAATACCCTTCTCATGAAAAGACGTAAAAAGTGAACTTCGTATTGTATATAGCTAGAGAGAGACTTCCACACCATCAAGATGAAAAACGGGCCTCTGGCTCCACCTTCTCATTGAAGTGATGTTGTTTATCCTCTCCACTAATCTGCATGCCTCGCATGGATCACAGCCGGACAACACGCAGACAGAGAGGCAGATGCAGAGCCTGCTGACTCAGTGAGCACAGCTGCCGGAGGTCATTAAACAGACCACTCCTGCCAAACAGCCCGCAGTGGTGCAACACTAAGACTTCCTTGCCTCACCGTATGGAGAAAGAAATTTTTTTGCCCCAGAGACTTGTATAGTAGAATAATTACACATGATCTGAGTGTCAACTATTAAAGAGCAGCTAATGGTATTAAAAATAAAGGACCGAAAAATGAGAGAGAAAGAGAGGGTAACTAGGACACTTTGAATACTTCATAAGTTGCGCCTATGCTACTTTGATTGAAATCCTTCAGGTTAAAAAAAAAATAGCTGGACCCTTTAACAGGATAGGTGAGATCTGCCCACTGTGTGTGCAGGATGTGGGCCAGGGTTTCCTGAGGCCAGTCCTCCAACGGCAAGCACGTTTTGGATGCCCCGTGGCCAGCCCTTCAGGGGTGCTGATTGGCCTCTTTTCTCCTTTCCCTGCCGCCCCTGTACATGCCCTCACTGCTGGAATGTGAGAGAGTGTGTGTAGGTGTTACACTTGCCCAGAATTTGATTTGAGCTGGGAAACAACTTAAGTCATTCCGTGTTCAAGATTTTCTTCTCCTTTCACTACCCACCAATCCAAAAAACATCAATAACTAAAATTTTATACTAATAACCAACAGATTATAGTTACCAAAAACCCACAGTTAAAGTAAAAATGCCATTTGAAAGGTAGGACACAGTGAATAAGTATCAGAAGAACTATTAGAACACGTCCAATCCAGTTGTTGGAAAGATAAACAGTATCATTAATGAAGCCTTCCCCTCTCTCACCCAGCACACTCCTGTTTCATTCTGCAACCTGCTTCCCTTCTGCCCATTCCTGAAGTTCCTCACCTTGCTCTTCTTTTTCCTTTTCCTTTTTCAATAGTACTTCTCACCTTCTAATATACCACATGAAGTGCTTTTCTATTATATTTATTGTTTATGGTCTCCATCTCTCTGCTGGAATGTAAGCTCCATGAAGGCTGAGTTCTTTGCTTTGTTCACTAATGTATTCCCAGCATCTAGAAGAGTGTTTGATGTGGAGTAGGCACCCAGTCAATGTTGAATGAACAAAAGTGAAAAATCAAATTACAAAGAAATTGATGTAAAATAATCCTGGTTTTGTTTTTCAAAATATCTGTATAAAAATAATACACCATATTTATAGAAAAATATGTAGAAAGATATACCAAATTTTAGATAATAATTCTTGAGAGATGAGATTACAAGAGATTTTCTGTTTTATATATTAATGTTTCCCATTTTACAACAAATATTACTTTGAAGTAAAAAATTGAGCTATAACAAAATAAGGAATTAAGGAATTTGGTTAAACCTAAAAATAGAAGTTTCATTTGTTTTGCAGGGAAGGGACATAGGTTACAATGGAAGAAAATTGTATTATTATTACAGTAGTCTTTCATTTTGAGTTTGATGTTATTCTTTTGAAAATCTTGAGTTGGGTTTTTGGACTTAAGGCTCACATCACTTGTGAGCTGATAGGTTTCCATAGAGGGGTCATCAAATTCTTTTTTTCTCAGTAGCATAGTAATTATTATTTTAGCTAGTATGCCATCTGGAGAGCCTTCTTAGGTGGTAGATAAGAAACTAAAAATAGGATTGTAGTTTACCATCATATCTCCTCACCCAGCACTGTTACTGAGACGTAATAAACATAAATATGTGAGCGAGTGACTAGTGAGAGAGTGATGCCTTTGGCAGGATATGTGTGGTAGGATTGCCTGAGAGCTGGGTAGAAGGAAGGAGAAGTATTAGGTTGCTGAAAGGGCTTCTTATTAGCTCAGCTCTTCACGCATCCTACAAAGAGCTGGTCAGCAAAAAGGTACTTATTGAACTACTGCTCATAACAGGCAGAATGTAAATGCTGTTCATCACAGGGGCTATGAAGTGCAGAGTTTTATAGGGAGTATCTCCCTACAGACAAGATCCATAGAACAGATGGAGAATTACAGCATATACTCATTCTGCCTCTTGTTGAATAAAGGCAAAGGCAGCCTCAAGAGATCTTATGTGCTGTATAGAATATATATTATAGAGCATTATATTTTATTTTTGCTAATCTATTTATTTTTAGGTTTCCCATCTTTTAAAAAATGTTATAGTCATTTTTCCAATCCACTAAAAGGAACATTTACATTAAAGAAAAAGACTGTTTCTTTCAGTGAAAGGTTTTATAGCTGTGCTTGTGTTTAAAATACTTTTCTTAAGCATACATTGTCCATTTAAAATAAAATTAAGATGGAGAAATTCCGAGGCATACATCCTTTCCCCAAAATTAAATATTTGAAGAGACATGTCCTATTTTATTTCTGAGATAAAATGTTTTTCATTTTCATGTTACTGAAATGTAGTTTTACTAAACTACTAAATCCCAGACTGCCGAGCACCTTCCCCGTGCTAAGCATGGCACTGCGTGGGATGACGGCCATTGGTGAGCGCTGTGAGCCAATGTTCCGGTGCAGGCACAGGGGGTGTAGAGGATGAGAGTCTTTCCTTTCTGGGGGATCTGGGAGGCTTCAGAATGCAGGAAAGACCGTCTCCTCGTTTCAATTGCCCCTCATTTTCCGATAGACACTTACGAAATGATTACTCTGCCCTGAAAGATAGCTTCTACATAATTCAAGATCATCGTGGATCTCTCTCGTGAGAGAGAAGAAAAGCCGTATGAATTATTTACAGAGCACTAAGTTACTTCCTTTTATGAGGGCCAACTTTGTTTTTGTCTCTGCAAACTGAGATTTTGTTTGTCTATGAATAGTTTTCCCTTGGGCATGAAAAAGATGACTCTTAAAATATGAATGAGGTTTTTTGTTTGAGTCCATGTTAACTAAAATGTGCAAAATAAACTATGTTTTTCATTAGATCCCTTTCAGCTCCCCACAAAAACAGAACCAACAAAAGAACAAGCAGTTCAACAAGCACCCACCAGGAAGCCCACTGTAATTCGAATTCCAGCCAAACCAGGAAAATGTAAGCACTTCTCTGCCTTCTTTATTTGCTTCTTCAAGAGCCTGAGAGAAATATATACTAATTTATCAATGTCTGCTTTTGAAATTTGTGTAATCTGACATTTATTATTACTCATAGTCAAGGACACTTAAAAGCAAATTTTTTTTGCAATTCTTTGAGAATTAGTACAGTAAGTTTGGATTTCATTTTTCTTTAATATTATCTTTAGGCAGAGAAAATAGAGGGAGACTGCGGAACTCAGAACAACTGTAGTATCCCATGTTAGTGCCTCTGGTAAAGATTTGATGGGAAAGTAATCAAAATTAGTAGCAAATAAAGGTGTATATGTCTATCAGGAGTATGTTATTCAAATCAACATAATATGGCTATGTATGAATTGTATAAAGAGCAGGACCCAAAAGCTTTAAAAACATATAACATTGTATAAAAATATTTTTAAATGAGTGTAACATTGCATTTTGATTTACTTCCTTACTTGATTTTTTTGCTTACTTGATTTTTTTAATGGTACAATGATTAAAATTCTTTATGAGCTTTAATAAGTACTTCAAAAAGAAATCTGGTATTTATTGTAAGGGAGAAGACAAAAGGGCCAGAACTATTTATTTTAGGCCCCAGATTATTAAAATGTGTGGCCAAAAGTGTGTGTGTGTGTGTATGCATACTTGGTAGGTTCAGAGTGTTCGTTGGAGTGATCACACAGCTCTCTCCATGGGCCTTTGATTTCATTTATACCTGCAATGCCTAGCAACGCATAGCCCAGATGTGTTCTTGCCTTTGTCAAACAAAAGATTCTCCTTTCCTCCTAACAGCAGAGTAAAATGTGTCCCAGTCTTTCACCAATAGCACCGAGGATTATACTACAGGGATACCCTTTATTTTAGGGGTTTGGTTTTTCTATAAAGCACTACTCAAAAGGATAAGATTGGTTTTAATCTCTTCTTGATGTTTTTATTATTAATTGACGGCTTTTAGCCAAGTAGAAGAAGGTTGAACTGAGTTGCTATGAAGAATGAGGAGGAGAAAAAGTCAAGGGTACCAAATTCTAGCGGGTTCTAATTTCTTATATTTTAGTGTTAGAACAGGTGGCATATTTTTTTTGATGGTGTTGTGTAGCCTACAGATCAGTAAAATGATAGCTCATTGGGTTGTTTGCCTGTTTGCTATTACTTTGTTAAATCTGTTCTGGGTTTTAAGGCATAGTGAGATATAATGACAATAAATATTGCCAGAGCTCATGTGGGTTTTAAGTAATGCAACGTTTACACAAATTTAGTAATACAAATATTTAAATTTATTTTCCTGTTGTGTCAGTGTTCCCATAGACCACCTCCAGGTTTGATGATTCTCTAGGAGGATCCACAGGACTCAACATATATTCATGGCTATTATTTATCACGACAAAAGTATATGAGGCAAATTCAGCAAAGGGAAAGGGCAAATGGGGTGAAGTCTGGAGGAAACCAGGTGAAAACTTCCAAGAGTCTTTTGCTGGTGGAGTCGTATAGAATATACTTCATTCTTCCAGCAATGAGTTGTGATAACACGTGTGAAATGTGAACCAGGGAAGCTCATTAGAGACTCGGTGCGTAGGGTTTTTACTGGGGGCTGGTCACATAGGAACTCCTAGAAATTTTGACATGTACGAAAATTCCAGATTCCCAGAAGGAAAGCAGGTGTTCAGCATAAACTGTATTCTTCTATTTTATCAGTTCTGGAAATGATGGGAACCATCCCAAAGTCCAAGTTCCCAGATGCCAACCAAGGACCAATCTTGTAAGCAGGACTTTCTAGGGATATGCACTTTTAGGCCTACTGTGTTTACTTTTTATGCACACCTGTAAACTGGATTAATAACTCTGAAATCCTGAAAAGGCTTGCTGAGGAAGCACCTTTATTATCCTGAAAAATCTCCAGGAACTGTTAGAAAGCTGAATTCTGTACTGCTAGGTGTGAGAGAACTGAAGTGACAAAATGATTTCTAGAGAGTTATTTCTATTTATATGAAAAATCAGTTCTTCAGAGCGGTGGCTCATGCCTGTAATCCTTGCACTCTGGGAGGCTGAGACGGGAGAATTGCTTGAGGGAGAATTGGTTGGTCAGGAGTTCCAGACCAGCCTGAGCAAGAGCGAGACCCCGTCTCTACCAAAAATAGAAAAAATTAGCTGGGGGTGGTGACGTATGCCGATAGTCCCGGCTAATCGGGAGGCTGAGGCAGGGGGATCGTTTGAGCCCAGGAGTTTGAGGTTGCAGTAAGCTATGATGATGCCACTGCACTCTAGCTGGGGCGACGAGCAAGACTCTGTCTCAAAGAAAAACAGTTCCCCAGAATTTTATTATTACAATTATTAAGCAATGCATATATGTTGTGGAGGAAAAAAAATGAGACTTTTGGTATCAGAAGAACTTGGAATGGACAAGGGAAGAAAGGAATAGCTTTGTGGTGCAAAAATCCTTGGTCTTCTTTGAACCTATCCGCTCATTCTCCCTCAGGACCTGTTTCTTCTGACTAGATTTTCCTTTTCCCAGATGTCTGTGTGGCTCCCTCTCTCAAATGCTCAAATGCCACTACGTCAGTGAGACCTTCCCTGACTATATTATTTAAAATTGGAAACCTCCTACCTGCACAATCCATCATCCCATACACACCCACACCAGATACTCCCTATCTCCCTTCCTGCCAGTAAGCTAATTCCTGTCTACTTTCATATTACTACTTTGTACCCTTAAATATTTGTCACGACAATATTATATCCTAAATGATTCATTATTTCCTTGTAAGAATAAGGAAACTGCAGCACAGAGAAAGTCTTTGAGATGGTGACTGAGTTGGATGTGCTTGTGTATGTCTTAATTCCCAGAGCAGCCCTGCCTCTCACTAAGAAAGCTTGCCTGTCTCTAAATCATTGTTTTCCTAGTAGCTGGCCTGGGTATTTTCCTCCCTTTGAGAGTGTTTGCCTGTCTGTGGATAAAACAGAAACCTGACAAATCATCCTCTTGTTATAAGTTTTTCATGTGAAATGGAAGTAGAGGATGTTCATTTGAAAAAAAAAATTCCCGTCTTCTTTCAATGCCTAAACCGAACAGTGCGAAAGGCGGCTTTAGCCTCCTTCAGCATGCTACAATCATCCTCTCTCCACGTATTTTTTGCACACAGATTTACTACTTAAATCTGGTCATCTTTGTTTTCTTCTTTTTAAAATAAGTTGGGTACGCTATCACTGAGATAAAGATGTGGTTTAGATGTAAAGGTATTGTTTGTTTAATTGAGGGTAATTCACTAATCTGGAGCTAATGAATTAGAAAACACATTTAATTATTTTTGGGTGGGATACACCACCTGTTAAGAAGCAGCATTCTTTTTCTTTTTTTTTAAAGACAGAGTCTTACTCTGTTGCCCTGGATAGAAGTCAGTGGTGTCATTGTAATTCACTGCAACCTCAAACTCCTGGGCTCAAGCCATCCTCCTGCCTCGGCCTCCCGAATAGCTAGGACTATAGGCGTGTGCCACCACGCCCAACTAATTTTTTCTATTTTTGGTAGAGTTGGGGTCTTGCTCTTGCTCAGGCTGGTCTCAAACTCCTGACCTCAAGCAATTCCACCTCAGCCTCCCAGAGTGCTAAGATTACAGGTGTGGGCCACCACACCTGGCCAAGAAGCAGCATTCTTTATTAGAATGAACACAGGCTTTTGGGTTCCAAACCCTGGATCTGACAATTACAAGCTCTAAGATCTTGGATAGCTTATTTATTTTCATAGCTTCAGTTTCTTCATATGTAAGCTAGGTAGGATATTATCTAGTGTAGTACTGTCCAGTAGAACTTTCTGCAAAGATAGAAATATTCCAACTCTCTGTGCTGGTAGCCACTAGCCACAGGTGGGTATTGAGTACTTGAAATACGGCTAGTGTAACTGAGGAATTGAAATTTTAATTTAATTTAATTTTAATTAATTAAGATTTAAGTTTAAATTGCCATATGTGGCTACTAGCTAGTGGACTGGACAAATCTAACATGTAGATGTTGGTTCTAGAAATGTATGTAAATATAGTGCCTAACTTAATGCCTAGCATATAGAAAGTTCTTAGCAAATGCTGGTTACTATTGTATTTATTTAGTATTGTTTTCACTCTCTACAAAACATAGAATAAAATTAACTGATGTCGATTAACACATCAATTTTCTGAGGTTTGGTGGGAGCTCTTTCTCATCTGCCTTAATTATATATTCTTTGTGTGAATCTTTTATGATAGCCATTTTTCCAAGGAACCAAGCAGTAATCATTTTATTCTTTGGAATTCCAAAGACTAGAAATTATTCATGAATTCTATTTTTTTCCAGGTTTACATGAGGATCCACAAGGCCCACCTCCTCTTCCTACTGAAAAACCTATTGGAAACACTTATAGTGTAGTATCTGGAAAACTCAGTAATATTGACAGAACTAGAAACTTGGTAAGTAGTCATTATAGGTTGTATTAAATTGAAGACTAACCCATGCATGAATTTTAAATACTTAGCTG